GGGAGGGACTCTGAGTAGAGCTGCTGCTTCTCCATGTCGAGAGGAGCCAGTTGAGGTGGCTTGGGCATCTGTTTAGGATGCCTCCTGGACGCCTCCCTGGTGAGGTGTTCCGGACACATCCCACCAGGAGGAGGCCCAGAGGAAGACCCAGGACACGCTGGAGGGAGTGTTTCTCGGCTGTCCTGGGAACGCCTCGGGATTCCCCCGGAAGAGCTGGCCCAAGTGGCTGGGGAGAGGGAAGTCTGTGCTACTTAGGCTGCTACCCCCGCGACCCGACCCTGGATAAGCGGAAGAAAATGGATGGATGGTGTACTACATAACATGCATATTAACATATTACATATTTATATCATCACTAGTTTTCCATGTATATGTTTCCACACCCCAGCTCTAAGGTAAAGATCACAAATCAAGCTCAAAATTAAAATAAGGTCTTGTCTGGGCCATTGCTATTAGATTACTGTATAACAGTTTGTTGACGGGGGTATAATATGCGGCATGCGCTACTCTCCTTACATGATGCAATGATGCGGTTTTAAAGTGCTTCTCTGGCTTTAGGTGAGGGGAAAATCAGTTAACTATTTAACAATTTTTAAAAAATCTAAAACCAGTTTAGAATTAATACCAGCTTTATCACTGGAGCTTCAATTACAAATTTAAACATACAACTAAAGTTGTTTCAATCTAAATGAAATTTCATCAGGGCACTTGTATGCGCTCTTTTGCCAGGTCACAGTCCTGCTGACTACAAGCTGCTGTCCGTCCAGGTGATGATTCGACACGGTGACCGCTATCCTCTTTACTCCATCCCCAAGACCAAGCCACCAGCCATTGACTGCACCCTTTCTACCAACAGGTACAAAAACAAAAGAAATGTTTAAATATAATTATTACCAAGGACATAGACGTGCAAGGTACAAGGTTGTTCTAATTTTAGGCCAATTTCACACTTATCATTTTTATCCAAAGTTCTGGAAAAGGTTGTTTTCATTCAGTTGGAATCTTTTTTAGAACACAACAACTTGTTTGAAAAATTTCAATCTTGCTTCAGACCCCGTCATAGCACTGAATCTGCACTACTCAAAATACAGAATGACATTCTTTTGTCCCTTGATGCCAAAAAACCTGTTCTGCTGGTGATGTTGGACCTCTCAGCCGCTTTTGATACTGTAGACCATCAGGTCCTAATCACTTGTTTGGCTCAGCAGGTTGGACTTCAGGGAGTTGTGCTCGAGTGGTTTAAGTCCTATTTAACAGTCAGAACTTTCTCTGTTATGATAGGTGATCTGTCCTCTTCTTCAGTCTCTGACCTGGCGTACCGCAGGGATCCATTCTGGGGCCTGTTCTCTTCTCACTTTACATGCTACCGTTAGGACCCATCATTGCACGCCATAATCTGTCTTTTCATCTGTATGCAGATCTACAAATCTATCTGCCGGTCACTCCCAGTTCCTCACTCAGTTTAAACTCTGTTGCCAGCTGCTTAAACGACATTAAGCACTGGCTGTTTCAGAATTTTCTCCACCTAAATAACAATAAAACTGAATGGATTTTATTTGGTGCTTCCAGTAATTCATGCAACATCTCTCCCAGTCTAGGACTTCCGCTCCCCCACGCCAACCAGGTGGTAAAAAATCTAGGAGTGGAGCTTGACTGTAACTTAAAGTTAGATAAACAGATCAGTTCTGTTGTGAAAACCAGATTCTTTCAGCTCCGTCTGCTTTCTAAAGTAAAATCACTCCTTAGCCGTAGTGATCTGGAGAAGGCCATCCATGCCTTTGTGAGCTCTAGGCTTGATTACTGTAACGCCTTATATGTCGGTATTAATCAATCTTCTATCTCCCGTTTACAGCTTGTACAAATCTCTGTTGCTCGCTTGTTGACTAACACACGTAAATATGAACACATCACTCCTGTCCTTTCTTCTTTGCACTGGCTCCCGGTTCAGTTTAGGATACAGTTCAAGCTGCTACTGTTTGTTTTTAAAGCTTTAAATGGCCTTGCACCACCCTATATTTCAGAACTTTTGAAAGTCCACCAGCCCAGCAGAGCTGTACGGTCTGCTGGTCAAAATCTGCTGGAGGTGCCACGCTCAAAGTGCAAACACTGGGGTGACTGGTCCTTTTCTGTTGCAGGTCCAACAGCGTGGAATACTCTTCCCTATGAGCTGCGTGCCATTTCTGATCTGGTTCTGTTCAAAGCCAAACTGAAAACATACTTATTTAAAAGGGCTTTTAATGTTTAACTATTTGTATTTTAGTATTTAGTTATTTGATCTCTTTTACCATCTTTTATTCTGGCTGTGTTTTTAATTTGCACTGATTTATTGTGTCCTGTTTTTAATCTTGTTTTATCTTGTAAAGTACCTTGGTCAATGCAAGGCGTTGTTGGAAGGTGCTATAGAAATAGATTATTATTATTATTATTAAGGTTGTGTTCACAGATGTTTGTTTCTGTCAGTTTTTCGGATTCCTGCTAAAACCTTGTTTTGAAATTGCGATTTAGCAGGCAGTTGATTTAAATTCCTGACTGCTAGGAACACAAACGCCTGGTGAGTAATTTGAATTTTCAAGACGAAGCTTCTGCAGTAATTCATAAAATTGACTAATCTTAACAGTTCTGGATCAGATGTCACGGTTGAGCTAGAACTATGAAGTTGTGAACATCATGAATTCTTTAACAGCCATGCAGACCAACACTCAGTGCAGCTGTTAAAGACTGCATCATGTTCAAAGCTTGCTTAGTAGTTCTAGTTAAACAGTGACATCTGATTCAGAGCTATAAAGTTTAATAAATCTAGCTATCTAAAGGGCTGTACATGTATTTGAAGCAAACTATCATGCCAACAGGATCCAGTGCACACAAAGACATTAGTTACAGAAGTGGAAGTATGGAAAGCCTATAGGATTATATTTTGCATACTTGGAAACACCTTTTGGAATTTAATAAACACTGTTAAAACACTTAAACAGGCAGTGCATACCTACCACTTGTGTATGTGCAGCATACTATCTGTGACTTGTGAGTGTTAATTATATTTGTGTTTTTTCCCCCCACACTGACAAGATCTGGGTTTTTGATCAGCAACAACAAGAAGCCCAAGAGCAGTTTAACAAATTTTATTGTGAACAGGAAAAACTCTGGTGGAGGTCTGGGTCCAATCTGTCAAGACAGAAGAGTTAGTGGCTTTGACTAAGTTCTGGACGTGTAGTTGAATGTTGGTGTCTGCACTAACCTTCTGTCTTGATGTTGCAGCAGAGTCAGTAGTCACACTGCAGTCGGTGATGTCCCTCCAGTAGAGCAGGTTGCTGCAGCGGAGCAGATTAAAGGACTTAAGTCTAGAATAGGGAAATGGAGAAGTGAGAACAGGGCTGAGTCGTGATCCAAAAGACGTGGTCAAAAGGGGAAGGCACAGAGTCAGAAACCATGGACAGATAGGCAGACAAAATCCAAGAGGGTTCAGGCAAGGCGAGGAGTCAAAAACAGGCAAGGAGTCGTGGCAAGAGACAAGGTCAGGTATGCTGGATTTCTACTGCTTGTGAAAGGTTCGAGAATCTGGCACTGACTGAGTGAATGCAGGGAGCTTAAGTAGGGTGGAGAACAGGTGTAGAGCATGAGCTTGATTGCTGGGTGAGAATGAGTGACAGGAACAGACAGAGCTTGGCAGGAAATAAACACAAACATGACAGGCTGTGAGGGGCAAAAGCATGACACACAATGGACTATGTTTAACTGAAGCAAACATTTTATGTCCTCTCCTAACAAAAGGGAGTTACTTTTAAAAAAAATTAGAGTCTTTTGTCTGCTTTCAGGAGGGTTATTGTTTAAAACTAGTCGGGGGAGAGCTCTTGGTAGGACAGAAATTTTTAGTGCCTTTCTGGTTACCGTCACAATAATCTTTTCAGACAAACTACTGCTCACCTTAGACACAATTTTTAGCCACTTCACAAAACAGCAACCAGTCCAAAATCTGCCTTTTAAGTTTCACTGATTTGAATAATCAATTAGACCTTTAATGCAAAGCTATTTATTTATTTAACTTTTGTTATGCATAATCTTCATCACATATATCATAAATTATTATTTTTATAATTAAATAAATAAAATCAACTGAATTTGTGATTATTTTGGCATATCTGTGTGTATTAACTGATTTGATGTCCATTAAACACGAGAAAATAAATCACGTTTCAGTTTACATTAATTTGGATTTAAATAGAGACTGATTTTTCCTCTCCAAGAGAGGTGGTGCCCACACAATGAGGTTATTTGCATAATAAATGCCTATCTTATGAGCTTAACTCATAACTGATAACAATATACAAACCGGATTCCAAAAAAGTTGGGACACTAAACAAATTGTGAATAAAAACTGAATGCAATGATGTGGAGGTGCCAACATCTAATATTTTATTCAGAATAGAACACAAATCACAGAGCAAAAGTTTAAACTGTGAGAATATATCATTTTAAGGGAAAAATCTGTTGTTTCCAAATTTCTTGGCGTCACCAAATCCCAAAAAAGTTGGGACAAGTCCATTTTTACCACTGTGTGGCATCCCCCTTCTTCTTACAACACTCAGCAGACGTCTGGGGACAGAGGAGACCAGTTTCTCAAGTTTAGAAATAGGAATGTTCTCCCATTCATGCCTAATACAGGCCTCTAACTGTTCAATCATCTTGGGCCTTCTTTGTCACACCTTCCTCTTTATGATGCGCCAAATGTTCTCGATAGGTGAAAGATCTGGACTGCAGGCTGGCCATTTCAATACCCGGATCCTTCTCCTACGTAGCTATGATGTTGTGATTGCTGCAGAATGTGGTCTGGCATTATCGTGTTGAAAAATGCAGGGTCTTCCCTGAAAGAGATGACATCTAGATGGGAGCACATGTTGTTCTAGAACCTGAACATAGTTCTCTGCATTAATGGTGCCTTTCCAGACATGCAAGCTGCCCATGCCACAAGCGCTCATGCAACCCCATACCATCAGGGATGCAGGCTTCTGAATGGAGCATTGATAACAACTTTGTCTATCCTTGTCCTCTCTGGTCCGGATGACATGGCGTCCCAGTGTTCCATAAAAAACTTCAAATCGTGACTCATCTGACCACGAACAGTCTTCCATTTTGCCACACTCCATTTTAAATGACCCTTGGCCCACTGCAAAAGTCTGAGCTTGTGGAGCTTGTTTAGAAATGGCTTCCTCTTTGCACTGTAGAGTTTCAGTTGGCAACGGCGGATGGCACGGTGGATTGTGTTCACTGACGATGCTTTCTGGAAGTATTCCTGAGCCCATCTTGTTATTTCCTTGACAGTGGCATTCCTGTTTGAGGTGCAGTGACATTTAAGGGCCCGGAGATCACGAGCATCCAGTAGAGTTTTACGGTCTTGACCCTTACGCACAGCGATTGTTCCAGATTCTCTGAATCTTTTGATGTTATGCACGGTTGATCATGATAACTCAAAAGTCTTTGCTATTTTACGCTGGGTAACACCATTCTTGTATTGCTGCACTATCTTTCTGCGCAACAATGGTGGAATTGGTGATCCTCTTACCATCTTGGCTTCTGAGAGACACTGACACTCTGAGAAGCTCTTTTTATACCCAATCATGTTGTCAATTGACCTATTTAGTGTTAATTGGTCTTCCAGCTGTTCAGCCACTAATTGCTACTTGTCCCAACTTTTTGGGGATTTGTTGACACTGTGAAATTTTGAGTCAACATATTTTTCCTTTATAATGTTACATTTACTCAGATTAAACTTTTGATCTGTCATATATGTTATATTACGAATACAATATTGACATTTGCCATCACCACATCATTGCATTCAGTTTTTATTCACAATTTGTT